TAATATATAATATTATATATAATTATATTATATATATAATAATTTTGTTTCTTTCTTTTTATATAAATATATATATATATATATTTATATAAAAAGAAAGAAACAAAAACTCATAAAATGAGTTCTTGATCATTCGGGTTATGGCCGTGTTCATCAACCGTGTCTTGTGTGTGTATTAACCTTATTTTTTTTTTTAAATAAATTGTGAAATGTATAGGTGCGCGTATTAATCCATTAATTAATCCACAGATATGATTTGTCGCAAAAATTTAATTTAACAATTCGACATACCGTCATTAGTTAACGATAACTCGTATTGCTGTAGCAGTGTCTGCCGATCCGTTTTTCCGTTAGTTAAAAGAGGTATGCGATCAACGATAACGATTTGCGGCAACATGTACGGCGGTGCCGTTTTTTGAAGAAAAGTCTCGATCTCCGATTTATTGCTCGTCGTGGTGACGAAAGCTACCAGTGCCTAAAAATGCAAAAATAAATCTTTCTTTTAATTTTATTCTATCAATGTGTATCGGGGGTTTTAATATTTTTCGGATTTTAGTTATACGGGAAATGCGCGAATCCTCTTACCTGCGACAGTTCGCCGGGTTTGTGACAAAGAACGACAACTTTTTCGACGTCAGGTATACGGGCGATTATCTTCTCGACTTCCGTGAGATCGACACGGTGACCTCTGACTTTGATCTGCGAATCCACTCGTCCCTCGTAAATTACAAAGCCCTTGACTATTTTAGCGTAGTCACCGGTACGAAATATCCTCAAATAATCTACGAACAAATCAGGCACGCGTGTTGTAACATTCGTCACGATAAATCCTGCGAAGGACACGGGGTATGTGTCGCGCGATATTTTCTTCTCTCACCTGGATCGATGGCGTGCGGATTGACCAAAAATTTATGTGAGTCTCGTCCCCGTATATAACCCGCGGCAAGGTTTCTTCCCGCTACGATCAATTCTCCGACTTCTCCCTGGGGCACTAATCGCATGTCCGTGTTCACAAGATAAATTATGCAGTTGTCAATTGGCTTTCCTGTACAAAAATCAGATCGAGAGATTTAATTGTTGACGGACTACAATTAATCGCGGCTTTTACGTTGTTGATTTTATCTCGACAACGTTTCTCACACGCTTGTTTCTTACCGATTGGTACTTTTTCTAATCCTTGCAATTGCGCTTGATTACTTAGAAGGTGGTACGTGACGTCACCCATAACTTCCGTGCTGCCATAGAAATTAGCTAATATCTTGTCCTCGTTGCTGAACCGAGCAAAAAATTGATCGGCCAACTTGATCGGCAAGGTTTCGCCGGAACAAATCCAGAACTTCAAGCGGCTTAGGGCGTTGCTGTTATGCTGTGCGCAACGGATCGTATATTAAAATGTAAGTGTAACAAGTGTAACATATTATGATAAGCAGTAATGTTATTTGCGCAAATTAAAATAAAAATTGAGGTAATTAATATTCCTACGTTTTAGTACGGTCTCAGGCGACGTAGTATGTGGCGGGGTCGTAAAAGGAGAAAATTTTCTGATAATTTTATCTAAGCTACTTGAGAAATTACGGATATCGACATGATGAAAACCCGTAAATTGTTTCGAAAGATCTAAAAAAGTTCTTCGTATTTACTGCACCAAATGAAAAGTAACGTTCTCACGAGCATCGATTTTTTTCTTTTCATTTGATGCCATAAATGCGGGGAAATATTAATTCTTCACAAACATCGATCTACAGATCACTATCGTCGATAATAAACTCTTAATTAGCTAATGACTCTAATAGAATATTTATATACGTATTAATATTTAATTAATTTGAAATTTATGTAGCAAATCGGCAACAAACCGTACAATTTATGCAAGCTGCGATTTATGCAAGTTGCGATTTAGAAAACGAAGTGAACATATATTGTGGAAACGTTGCACCTGAGAGATCTCGATAAGCTACTTTGTATACGTATTTCATTAATTTTTTCTCCTCAGTTGTAAGACAAGTAAACCTACTTACCTATTACACTGTTAAGTAGATCATTAGTATACGCTAAAAGTTCAAATCGTTACAATCTGCATATTTACATCTTGATGTAAATCGCATGTAGTTTTAATTGTGCATTTAATATCGCAAATAAATATTAAATTTTTTCGAACTGACATCTCGTTAAAAATGCAAAAACTAGGATACGCAAAATGTCAGCGAGCATTGAGAAAAAAAACCAAGTGCGTTACTTCTGCTCTCTCTGAGTTATATATTGCGTATTGTATATTTCATATGCATATTTCACATGTTATTGCGTTTATAGAAACGCTCTATTTACTTCAATAAATAGAAACATAAAAAAAACAATATTCTTAAATCTTTGCATAAAGCTGTGATAAGATCGATTTTCTAAAAAATGCATACTAACACCTACTTAATAGTGTAATAGGTAGGTAGGTTTACTTGTCTTACAAACTGAGGAGAAAAAATTAATGGAATACGTATACAGAGTGTCTCGGTACTGTGTTAACGCTCAACGCGAATTTCTGCGATCGCTTTGAGACAAAAATCTTAACATCAAAAATGTCTTAAGACTGAAATATTTTTTGAGAAATTATCTCGAAATGGATCTCAGAAATTTAAGAAAATTGCCGTGATGTATTTATGTCGTTATACTATGTACAGTGAAGTGCGCCGTATCGTGTCGCGTCAGGGGAAGTGTTTCTCGGAAATTTCTTTTCTGGTTCTACTACCGCGCGCCGTTCTCCTTCGTTCTTGGACCGCTAGCAGAGACCGCGAAAGAGAACGGCGCGCGATAGCAGAAGCAGGCGGAAAAGAAATTTCCGAGAAACACTTCCTCTGACGCGGCACGATACGGCGCACTTCACTGTACATCTACTTACACTACATATACACGTATACTTACTTGCAGATCTAGATACATGAGTAATGAATGCAGCAACGATGGCACAAGGACTAAGCGTTGTATCTGAAACACAACAGGAATAATATTTTTTCAAATATATCCACACATAATTTCTTGGAAAATTTTATTTTTTATTGAAGTTCGCTCAAAATGTGAGACTCATTTAACTCTTTATGTGTGTGTGTGTGTGCGCGCGCGCGCGCATTAAATCCATAAAACATAAAAGATAAAAGTTCGTTTATGTACGCACCTGATGTTTTTCCAACATCAGCACGAATCTCTCCGGATCTTTCGTCACGCTCTTTGGCACGACCACTAAGGTACGGCCCTGCAAAAGCGGTCCCCACACTTCCGGAACACTGTCCACAAATGTGAGAGAGGTTTTGAAGACGCACTTCTCCTCGTCATCGGCGTACGGAAGTTCTCTCCATTGCCATTGCAAGCGATTCAGTACAGTAGCATGCGGTATAAGCACACCTTTTCAAAAGATACATGTACATCACACACATAGAAATATAATTATGTTGTCTGCTTAAGATACTGGCTGAAACGCTACGTATTCCCCAGTTGCTCGCGACTGGAAGTATAATTGCAACTTTTACAGCAGAACAATGACGAATTCTTATTTATCGTTTGAGACGTAAGATAGTTACAACGCGAGGCCGCGTAATGCCTGCAGCGATTATATGATAAATATATCTATCTGCACGTATTATAAACATATTATATACAAGCACAATACTCTATAAATAAGATAAACTGACCACACAAGAATTATTCACGCGTAGTAAACTTATGGCAACTAGAAAAATGATCGCTAATGAGAAGCAGGAAAAACGAATTACATAAAATTTAATTAATAATAAGCAAAATGTGTAATAATATATATTTATATATTTA